TGCATTTTTTTCTGCACCAGTTCTGCAGGGATCCTTTTCTCCGCTGTACCACAAGGTCCCAGACAAGAGAGATGAGCTGGGATCCCAAACTGTGGAAGTCCTAACTGCCTAAGGCTGCCACCCAAATCTGTGCTATTCCCTTGTATTTCCCTAAGCATTAAAGGGCTTTGGAGGGCTCAGCCAGAGCTTTGTCCTCCCCACAGGACAGGGCATCGGGAGCAAAAAGATATCCTGCGTTCCTCCACCCTCCCCATTCAAACCTGCCTAACTCAGGCTTCGCAAGAGTATTAAAACGGCCAAATAAACTCGAGATGGAGTCTTCGGTCAGAACTGTGCAGCAGCAGCCCTTCAGCTTCATCTCCAGCTCATAATTAGCCAAGAAAGGCAACACTCCCGACCTGCCCAACCATGCCTCTTGGCTGATCAGCTGGCGCAACCTGCTGATGCTCCAGCGCTACTACAGCACAAACCGCCCAGGCAAAGCTTAATTAACCGTTGGGGCAAAATTCCTCCCGTCTCAGCCTCGTCAAGTGAGCAGAAGTCTGAATAACTGTCGAGTGGAAGCTGGTTTACGTCGTGCCAGCCTGATTTTCACCAGGAAAGCCTGTGCTGATAACTGCACAACTAAATTCTACGGTTGATTTTTAAATCGTAATTTGATTTTTAATGATTAGCACAAAGTACGTTACTTATTTTCCAGAGAAACAGCTTTTAAGATTCCATACTAACATACTGTATGCACGTCAGCTGGGAAGGGAGTGCTCAGCATCGGCTTGTTCCCACGCTAAACACCTTGGCCAAGGCGGCCAAAGCCAGTTGTGCTGCAAGATGGACCTAGGAAGAGGATTTATCCTTTCCAAATGCCTCCTAAGAGCCCGGCAAACCTACAGTTACAATACCCAGAGATAGGACATGCAGGTCTCATTTATCCCATTCACTGGGGGTGCAGCCCCACAGAGGTTGCAAAGTGGAAGGGCTTTATGGAGCAAATCATCAGGTTTTGGATGTCGGTTGGATCCCACTGAGCTGTGTGAAGGAAACGATGGAGAAATCAGCTCTCATTTATGGGCAACAAAACAGGGATGGCAGCACAGCTGGAAGGAACCGCAGGCCTTGGCCAGGGGTTGGATTTGCACTGGTTCAGGGTTTGGGCCTGGCTTCTGCTGATGTTTCTGCTCAAAGGGTCCACTATCATTGCCCAGGTGTGTCCGTTTCCTGGCTTTTTACCTCCAAAAAACTTATTCCATCATTTCACCATCTGACTTTTCTCATTAAGAGATAATGTTAAGATAATTAATATGTTAAGAGGGACTAGTCTAATGTTTGCAAGGTTTAGGGACACGGACAAGGGCACGTCAGGGACCATCCCTCCAAAAGCCGGAAGCTGGCGGTGTAACCCCCTGAAACACGAGTTACACAGCAGTCACACTATCTTTGGGAAGGTTGAACAGTAAAACAGGCATTTCTCCCAGACAGCATCAGGCTTAACCCATTCACTGCCTGCTGGTACCAGCCCCAACACTCGCATCTGCC